AATGTAATTTTAGAAATACATCTGTAATTTTTATAAATCATTTTATCAAGTTAACAGCCACACAGAATTTTACCTATTGCATCTTAGTTTTACTTAACTATCGTTTTTTTTTTGTACGACTAGATCAGATGGCATGAGCATTTTTTACGAGCCGTTATTTTTTTTTTCACATAACATGGGAAAACATAAGACTGAACATTTAGGAAAGGAATTTTTTTTTTTTAAGAGTCATGCCAGCAGGCAAATTCTTTGCCAACTGCTCAGCATCAGAACGTTTAAGGAATAAGAAAACTCATCACTTTCATAGGTGTGGTGTCTGGTGGAAATCAAAGCACGCTGTACCCCTAATGCTTTGGTTGGCATTAAATACCACTGCTGTACAGGGAGAAATACTGCTGATCCTACCTGTTGGGGCATTTTAAACTAGTTTTTTTTTTGCCTTCCTATTCAAAACAAGAAATTCAGTTAACTAACGCACCTCTTTTTTTTTTTAAGGCTGTGTGGTGTGTGTGTGTGTGTGTGTGTGTGTGTGTGGTTTTTTTTTTTGTGTGTGTGTGTGTGTGTGTGTGCGCGCGTGCGCGCACTTCCCTTTTTTTTTTATTTTCCTAAGTAACTGATTCCTAATTTTTAGCAAGGTACAATATTTTTTTTTTTTCACTCCCCACAACTAAAATGCCAGACATGGTAGCTCACACTTGTAATCTTAGCACTTTTGGGAGGCTAAGGTGAAAGGATCACCTGACCCCAGGAGTTTGGGACCAGCCTGGACAACATAGCAAGACCCCATCTTAAAAAAAAAATGTTTTTGAAAAAATTAGCTGGGTGTGGTGATAGACGCCTGTAGTCCCAGCTACTCAGGAGGCTGAGGTGAGAGGATCACTTAAGTCCAGCAGTTTGAAGCTGCAGTGAGCCATGACTCCACCACTGCATTCTGCCCTGGGCGACAGCGCAGGTTCCTATCTCAAAATTTTTTTTTTGAAAAAAGACAACATCTTCCAGTCTCCCTAGCAGCTAAGGTGACTATGTGATTAGGTTCTGGTTAGTAAAACATACGCAGAAGTTATGTATGCCTTTTTTTTTTTTTTTTTGAAAGGAAGAGGACATCCTCTGTCCTCCATCCAGCTGCATGGAACTGAGAGAAGAGTCGCCAGTCCCTCACAATCATATTCTAGCTCTTCTTTCTTTTTTTTTTTGATCACAGCAACTACTGTCCCTACAACTTCCTGGACATTCAGAATTTTTTTTTTAGAGGCATCTCTAAGGTCTCCCTCCCTACATAACACTAGCAAAATTTTTTTTTTCCTGCTTCCCTGGTCTAGTCTGGAAAAAAAAAATGACCCAAACAGTCCCTACAGAACCAGTGACACCCCAGATGATCTGAAGTCTCTACCCCTGAATGTGAAACAGAAACCATCTCCCTACCTGTCCTACTCTGAGAGGTGTTGTGTCCAGAAGAGACTGTGGATATGAACCCATTTTAGGTGCAATGACATCAAAATACAATGCGACTGATGATCATTAGAGCCACAGTCAAGAAAGGATAGAGCAGCTGGAACATGGGGCGGCGGGGGGGACTTCTAAGAACCTATCCTGAAGATATTCTTACACAAGTGTACAAAGGTGTGTGTACAATGAGGCTCACTGCAGCATTACATGTAAGATTTAAAAGTAATAGTCATAAGTATGGTATATCCATGTAACTAAATACTATGTAGTCAATATATTTTTTTTTTTAATGAATAAAACAAGAAATGAAGAATATTAATGTATTCATGGGTTTTTTTTTTTAGCTGCCAGAACAAAAACCAGACTGGTTCAAAGTGGTTACCTCTTTTTTTTTTAAACAAGACGATGGCCGGAACAAAGGGCACATAAGGGACAAAGGTTTTTTTTTTACGTCAACACACTTGGGAGACGGAAGGCAAATGGGGTGATTTGCTTTTTTTTTTAAGCAAGATACTCCCGTATGCAGAGAGGTGGATACCTTTGAAAGTTTTTTTTTTCCCAGAACCCTGGAAAAGCTCAGAACTGGGAGACACCGGGAACCTGAGAGTCTCCAAATCTCCAGATGAGCCAAAAGTGAGGAGAAATGCCAGACTCATTTTTTTTTTTGGTAAGACCTTCAGACCCTGTCCCATAGTTGGCTCCAGAAATATTTTTTTTTTTGGCAAAATCCATCTCCTACGAGAGGATTTTTCTCTGGAGAAACTTTTTTTTTTGAGAAAACATCTGTAAGGTACAGACATTGGGGCATTCTTCACCAAAATGACCAAGTCCCTGTTAGTCACTCTACAATAAAGTCCATTAACTGACAACCTTTTTTTTTTTAAAAAGCATTTAATCAGCTTTGTACAGACTGCAAAAGCTCAACTTTTTTTTTTAGGATGCTTTCAACAGAAAACAGAGACAGACGAATAAATGGCAGTTTTTTTTTTAGAGAGAGACAGGGCAGGGAGCAAAACAAAACTTAGGAGGAAAATTTTTTTTTTAACTTCAATTAATATCCTCAGAGAAAGAAAAGAATATACTGCATCTAAAATCAAGAACAGGGTGCTAATTCAAAAAGGACAATTAGAGAACAAGAAAATTTTTTTTTTAATTCAAGGTACAAGATTTGAAATAAATCCAGAAAAGTCAGAAATTTTTTTTTTGTTCCTTGAAGGAAGAACCCTCCCCCGCCCCACACACACCCAGAAAAAATATGAGAAAAACATAAGAAAATTAGAGGATCAGTTCAGGAGTCTAATATTTTTTTTTTTGGAGTTCCAGAAACCAAGAAAAGAAAAAATGGAGGGAAAGAAATTTTTTTTTTTACACTTCAAGCAAACAGCTCTGAACTGAAGGCACAAGTATTAATTTTTTTTTTTCAGAACACTGAAGATAAGGGGGAAGATCCTAAAAATTTCAAGTTAGCAAATACTGGTCATATGCAAAGGACTAAGAATCAGAATGGCAACAGACTTCCTTTTTTTTTTTTTGGGAGCCAGAAAACAACAAAATAATGAATGCCTTCAAAAGTTTTTTTTTTTATAATTTTCAATCTAAACAAGTCAAACCATCAACCTGTATGAGGTTTTTTTTTTGATTTTCAAACATGTTAGAACTTATAAAATCTACCCGCTGTGTATTTTTTTTTTGGAAGTTCCTAGAGTTAAGAGTCCACCAGAACAAGAGAATGAATTTTTTTTTTTGAAGGCATGAGATCCAGGAAGCAGGTGAAGGAGAGTCCCAGGAGGCCTTGACAGTAACTAATCCAGCCTCCAGGAGACAGACAGCTGTAAGATAAATGTTTTTTTTTTAAAGAACTCAAATGAGTTTCATAAATCTTAGAGTTTAGGAAGAATTATTAAGCAATAACCAAACAAATGAAAGCAATGATCTAACTAGTTAAGTTCAGATTTGTATTTGCATACTGTACTTGTCTACAATCGCTTTAATATTAATTTAACCATTTTTTTTTTTGTACCTATATCTTGAGCAAGGGAAATTGAATTCTCACCTTCCATTTTTTTTTTTCAGTAGAAGATATAAACTGCTAAATCAGCAAATAGCAATATAATTTTTTTTTTCGAAATGGAGATAAGTAGACAAGGAAAAATACTAAAAAGTGTAGGAAGTACAACTCCAGAGTGGAGCAGCAGCCTGCTTTGTGTCAAAAAGCTGTGTATTTTTTTTTTCTTTTAAAAACCATCTTCACGCATTACTTTACTACTATTAATCATTTTTTTTTTAAAAACTGGTTACCTCTGAAGAGGGAGTCTATGTGAAGGATTGCGGTGAGGAAAACTTTCTTCATTTTGTGTACTTTTGTACCACATGAACTACTTTTTTTTTTTTTTACGCATATATGGGTTTTATAATTTAAGGAAGAAAACAAAACATTTTTTTTTTTTAGCCAAAGCTAATAAAAACTGGGACAAAAGGGAAGGAACAGACTTTTTTTTTTTCCAAAATAAGATCTCTAAGACTTGGTGACTTAGCAATGTGTTCATTTTTTTTTTAGAGAAAGCTCCTGTTGTATTTACAAACATAAGAAAAGTTATATTTTTTTTTTTTGACAATTTACCTTCACAATAATTGATTTACTGAGTCATTCAGTTTTTTTTTTTATTTGGAAAGTTAATAACAGTAATAACAATGTTATTATTATTAGTTTTTTTTTTTCCTATTATTGCCCAGGCTGGAGTGCAGTGGTGTGATCACACCTTTTTTTTTTTTTAAACTCCTGGGCTCAAGCGATCTTCCCACCTCAGCCTCCTGAATAGCTGGGACACAGGTGCACACCACCAGGCTCCAGAAATTTTCGTAGTTTATTTTTTTTTTTTAGGGCCTTGCTATGTTGCCCAGGCTGGTCTCGAACTTTCAGCCTTTTTTTTTTTTCCCACCTCGGCATTCCAAAGTGTTCGGATTACAAGCGTGGGCTGCTGCGCCCAGCCATTAATTATTCTGCCCAGCTTTCAAATCAAGATGGTAGCTATTTTTTTTTTTCTGTTAAATGCAAATGGTTAAGAATATCAATCTCCATTACAGATCTCTGACCAAACTTTCTCAATAGACTACAACATTGTTTTAAAAGATTTAAAGTTTTTTTTTTTAGATTTGGCATTATAATATTTATTTCAGAACAAAATTTAAATCCTTTTTTTTTTCATTCACTTCTGAAATGACTATGTTTGACAAACCTCGAACACTGAGGCTTTCTGGAGCATGACTTTTTACCCTGCCTAGACGGAAAAAGCATTCTTTGTTTTTTTTTTTGAAAATTTGGGCTTAGCTGCTTCCTCACCTGATGTGCGAGTACTTTTTTTTTTGAGTATAATTCAAAAACGATTTGCCGAAACTCATAGATGACTCATTTTTTTTTTCTGTCCTGCTCCTCTTCAAATGAGCCAGATCTTAGAGGCGTTTCAGTTTCCCCAGATACAAAGAAAATAAAGTGAGGTTGGTAGCTGGAGGAGGCGGTGCCGTCCGCAAAGCCAAAGCAATGCAGCCACTTGTACCTTAACTCTTCTCCGTTTTTTTTTTTTTTCTTCCCCTGGAACCTGCTTCTCTCCTTTCTTTCTCTTTTTCCTTTTTTTTTTCTTGTGTTTGTCATGATCGTTTTTGTCTTCGAAGAGGCTGGAGTTTTTTTTTTTACTGCCCGTGGAGAGTTCGGTGACTTCGTTCCCTCCTACTTTGAGAACCAGCTTCAAGGGCTTCTCCACATACTCTTAAAAAAAGAAAAGAAACGAAAGCGCGTCGATTACAGTCGGGGCTCTCCAGGGAGTGCTAAGGATGCAGAGCGCGAAGGCGCAGCAACGCCGAAGTGGCTTTGGGCGCCCCGCGAAGCACCTGTTGAATGTTTTTTTTTTGCCCGGGGGTGCGGCGCTGCCCGCCCCGAACGCTCCCACGCCTCTTTTTTTTTTTCACGTCTCCCCACCAGAGACCCACCGGACCAGGGGGACCCGGGTTCGAATGCCGCCCCGCAAGGGGGGCAGCGCGGCCTCGGGCAGGACGCGCCCCCTTTTTTTTTTTGGGCCTGCCGTGGGAGGGAAGGGCCCTGGGCCGCCCCTAAGCCTTTTTTTTTTAGCGGTAGCCCCGCAAAGGGGCCGAGAGCCCACCGCCCGCACCCTTTTTTTTTTCTCACCCTCGTAGAGGTGTTTCTCCGACTTGTGCTTCTTGTGCTTTTTTTTTTTGTCCGACCGGGCCCCGGTGCCCGCCCCCCGCGCCAGGCCCAGGCTTTTTTTTTTCGCTTCCGGTCCGGGCCAGGCGAGCGGAGGGCGGGAGCGGGGCCCGCGAGACCCCGCGCCGCGAGGCAGGGGGGCGGCGCGCGCCGGGCGGCGCGAGGCCCCTCTCGAGAAGACGGCGCGCGAGACCGGTCGGAGCCCGAGAGCGGTGGCGGTTTTTTTTTTAGCCGGAGCAGAGGCGGGAAAGAGGGCCCGCCGCGCGTGCAGGGTTTTTTTTTTTGCGGGTGGCGGCCCCTGGCGACCGGAGGTGGCGCTGCAGCTCGTTTTTTTTTTGCGGAGTCGGGGCCGGGAGCGGGGCCGGGAGCGGGGCCGGGAGCTTTTTTTTTTCGGGGCCGGGGCGGGGCCGGGGCGGGATCTACCGCTCAGAATCTTTTTTTTTTTCCTCCTTCTGCCCTCAATCTGTCTGTCTTGTTTCTGTCTCTGTGTTTTTTTTTTTCCCTCTCCCCTTCCCTCCCTTCTTTCTCCTCCCTGTCTCTCTTTTTTTTTTTTTTCCTCCTTCCTTCCTTTCTTCCTTCCCTACTTACTGCCTCCCTTTTTTTTTTTCCTCTCTCTGTTCTTCCTCCCGCGTCTCCCTTCCTTCTCCTCTCTTTTTTTTTTTCCCTATTTTTTCCCTTTTCTTTTTTTACCCTTCCTCCTTCCCCTTTTTTTTTTTTCTTTCCACTTTCCCTTGCTTGTTTCTTCCCTTTTACAATATTTTTTTTTTTTGCAAACTCAGCACATTGGTGACTGAAGATTCTAATCTTAAAAAATTTTTTTTTTTGCTGATAGGTGAAGATTTCCAGATGTCTCGACTGTCTTTACTTTTTTTTTTTTGGTGCTTTGTCTGTTTTCAGATAAGCTCATAATTATAGTCCCCTTTTTTTTTTTGATCTGTCATCAGTCATTTATACTTCAGGAAGAATTTGGACCCATGAATCACCTCTCCCAGGAAGATTTGTAGCTTTACCTTGAACTTCAGTGGTGAATTTTTTTTTTTATATTTTAGGACCCTATTGTTGGCAAGTGATAGAAACCAATTTTTTTTTTTTTAAGTAAATGAAAAGGGATTTATTGGTTTACATGTCTAGGAAGGGCAAGAATAAAGCTTGCCAGAGGGAAGACAGGAACCAAGGATGTAATGCTATTGACTGGCATGCCAGCTCTTTCTCTCTCTTGTCTCTCTGTATACAATCGGTCTCCGTTTTTTTTTTTCTTTCCTATGTGGCTGGAAACATGGCCCCCATCTGCTTCCGAGGTTTTTTTTTTATAGTGTCCTGACCAACTGGGAAAAAGATCTCTTCTTGTTAGCTTCACCCGGAAAACAGTCCCAGGGAAGGACTCTGATTGGCTTGGCTTGTGTCACATGTTTTATGGGACAGGGGATGGGAGATTGATTTAGCCTAGATGCCAAATCTACCCCCCAACCCCCTTGGCCAAGAGAAGTGGAGTCTGTGATTGGCAGTCCCTGCCAGTTTTTTTTTTTTAGCCAGGGAAGATGAGATTCTTCTAATGAAGAGAGTTGCTTTTTTTTTTTTTCTAAAAGTGTATGTCTATTGTTTCTCTGTAACAAGCCTCTCTGGTTTTTTTTTTGTAGAGATTAGGCTGTGGAAAGAGGGGTTGTGTTGGGGAAGAGATTTTTTTTTTCTCTGAAATCAAGCCAGCAAGGCCCCCTAAGCATGGGGCAAAGCTTTTTTTTTTCTTTTCAGCCATTGTCTATAACTTATTTTGCTTTAAGAAGAACCTTTTTTTTTTCTCCCACTGTAGCTTCTATTGTGGCATTGCCTTGCTCCAGGCTCAACCTGTGGGTTTACCTGTCTGCTCCTCATCACCCTGGGTACCTCATTGGTACTTTTTTTTTTTGGCACAGTGACTACTACTGTCCAAATGCCCCTCAGAGGAAAAAGTTTTTTTTTTCTCATCCATCCTATCGAGTTAGTAATTTCCCTTCCATCTCAAGATTTTTTTTTTACAGGTCACAAAGTGGTCACAGCAATGGAAAGTGAATAAGAGCATTTTTTTTTTAACACCTTCTAGAAAAAAATTCCTGGACGTGGAAGCCCAAACTCTTTTTTTTTTAAATTCCCAGTACTAATACCATGAAGGCACATAGAAGGCACCAGAAAATGCTAGTTGAGCTGTACGGTCCTGGTTCGGGCAGACTCCCCCAGAGATTTTTTTTTTTTTCCATTTATGTCCTCCTAGTGAATGTGGAATGGCCTAGAGACTGGTTTTTTTTTTATAGAACATGGCAAAGATGATGGACGTCACTCTTGTGATGAGGATTTTTTTTTTTTCAGTCTTGCTTGCTGACTGTCTCTCTTGCCTTCTTGGCTTGCTTTTTTTTTTGAAGCAAGCTGCCATGCTGGAGAAGCCCATGTGACAAAGAGCTGTTTTTTTTTTCCAGTTGACATCTGGCTACAACTGAGGCTCTCAGTCCAACAGCCTTGAAGGATTGAATCCTGCCAGCAACCGTGTGAGCTTCAAAGTGGATCCTTCCTTTTTTTTTTTTTCAGATGAGACCTCAGCCCTGGCTGACATCCTGATCACAGCCCTTTTTTTTTTCCAGAAGCAGAGGACCCAGTTAAGCTGTGCCCAGACTTCTCCCCTTTTTTTTTTTGGGAGCTAATACATGTATGTTACTTAAGTGTTGGGGTAATTTGTTTTTTTTTTATACATGGCTTATACGGATATCATTGCAAGCAGGGAAACTTTCTTTTTTTTTTTCATATCTCAATAAGAAGGACGAAAGTGACAGTAACAACAGCTACTGTTAATTGAGCAGTTGCCTGTGCAGGGCATTTGGTTAAGGCGATGAACACATCACCCCTTTGTATCCGTATTCTGGTCTGTGGGAAGAGTGCTGTTATCCCTATTCCTTTTTTTTTTAAACTGAGGCCTGGAGAAGTCAGGTGGCTTCTGCAAAGTCACACACCTTGCCTACCTGGAATTTCAATCCATGTCTGCCCACCTCCAAACCCTGCCTTTTTTTTTTTTTGCCACATTGCTCTTGGAAAAGAGGGCTAGGTCATCTCCAATGATTTTTTTTTTATGTTTGGAATCATGTTAAATTAAAACAAATTCCAGAGAAGATGTTTTTTTTTTTATATGCAGGTTTGTGCATTGAAAAAGATCAGAAGATAATTTAAAGAATGAAAATAGGCTAAGCACACTGGCTCACACCTGTAATCCCAGCATTTTGGTTTTTTTTTTCGGGAGGATCGCTTGAATGCAGGAGTTTGAGGCCATCCTGGCCTTTTTTTTTTTGAGAAACCCCATCTCTATTCAATTTAAAAAAATTTAAAAAAGAATTTTTTTTTTGAATGGAAATAGTTGTTATTTGCTGTTTATGGATTTTTGTGGGTTTTTTTTTTTTAAATATACAAGGAGAAATTGACAAATAAAACACGACTGCTTAATTTTTTTTTTTAGCTCTCTAATGGTGAAACTTCAGATTTTGGAATACCTGGGTAGGGGGAGGATCCTGAACTGGGCTGTGAAGGGGAGGTTTCTTGGCAGCAACAAGCTTTTTTTTTTGAGGAGATGGAGCCGCTCTGCTCGTGTGTATTTGCTGGCAGAGGTTTTTTTTTTTGATCTTGGGGAGAGGACCAAGCAGGCTCTGCACTTTGGTTAGTTTTTTTTTTTGTCCTACATCTACTCTGCCAGCCTCTGTCGGTGCCCTTGCAGCCTTTTTTTTTTCATCGAGGAGAGAGAATGGTTGCCTTCTTCTCCAAGGGTGGCCCAAGCCTCACATATATCCCTAAATCCCCAGAAGGCAGCCCCCAAAACTCTAGGGCTGAATAACTTAGAGAACACTGTTGGCACCTGTTCCACATCTGTCACCTACCTGGTTTTTTTTTTCAGTGTCCTTCCTGCCACTCCGGAAGGAGGATATATATTTGCCCTTTTTTTTTTGAATGGATCTGAGGTTCCATAAGGGCGGGGACTGCCCAAAGCCATTTTTTTTTTATTGACCGCAGGTCTTCATGTTCCAGGGCCTTCCCGGGGCCTCCACTGCCAGGGTGGAGAAGCCACTGTTGGGGTGGTGTCAAGATCAGAGAGCAATTTTTTTTTTTTTGGCTAGTCCGTGGGAGTCAGAATTGGGATCCAGGCCAGGGAAGTTTTTTTTTTCTGGAGTGAGTGAGACAGAGCTGACTTGAGTCCTGGGGTCACGCTTACTGGGTCTGTGACCTTGGCATGTCCTGAGAGGGCTGCCTATCTCTGAACTTTGGAACTAGGGTGAGGTCATCGGGTGTGCTGCTGCAACAGGGTGGTTGTAAGGATTTTTTTTTTTAACGCGGTCAGACCGCCGAGAGTAATGCCTGATATGGTAGATATTTTTTTTTTAATAAATATCAGCTGCTAATACTAACTTTTAAATATTTGTGAATTTTTTTTTTTTGCTCAAAACCGTCTCGTGGCTCCCTGTCTCACTCAGAGGCAAATTTTTTTTTTCACCTTGGCTTTCAGGGCCTGATCTGGCCCTCATTCTCTTTCCAGCCCCATCCCCCTGCCCCCTCCTCCCTCCTGCCCCCAGTCCCTGCTTCTCTTCCTTTTTTTTTTAACACTGTCCCCTGAGCTCCTGGAGGGGCTCCTGCCCTTATATCAGCTTGGTCTCCCCTGTGACCTCCTCAGAGAAGCTTCTGGACCAGCAACCCACATTTTTTTTTTCCTCTTCCCTCAGCCTGTGCAATGCCTGATTTCTCTCCATTGCATTTTTTTTTTCCAAAATCATGTTGAATATCTCTTCCCTATCTGTGTGCATGTCCTTTTTTTTTTCACTGGCCTCTCAGGTCCCCGAGGTTAGGGACTAGGTCTGTCTTTTTTTTTTTTGTGTCCCCACACTTAGCACAGAGCTGGGCTCAGCACAGGCCCTGTTTTTTTTTTTGTTGGACAGATGAGTGCATCATAATTACTGAGCTGTGATAATATTTTTTTTTTTCCTTCTTCCCCTTTCTGGTGGAGGCACGAGGTGACTGGAGGCCTCCGGGAGAGTCTGTGGAG